TATTAATTCGATTTTTTATATTTATAAAGGTCATCATGGCAACAAATCGTATTTAATCATTAGATCCTGCTCTGATTCGCCCGGGACGGGACGCATTGATTGAAAGATAGAATTTTCACTTTCAGACGTAAAAACGAAACGTCGTATTTTTAATAATAATACGGAGAGAATGACTTTATCAGATGATGTGGATCTTGAGACATTTGTAATATCTAAAGATGATTTGAGTGGTACTGACATTAAGGTAAATTTATTGACAAAATCTAAGCCTTAAAGGGGCAAACATAATCAATATGTATTTATTTTACTTTCTACTTGATTTAGGCTATTTGTACTTAGGCAGATTTGCTTGCTCTACGGTAATGTCGCATAAAAGCTATCGCTGTAGATTTTAGAAAAGCGTGTGACAAAGTCCTTTATCGCAAGTCTGAAGGTACACCCGAAGAATTATTATACCTTTATTCTAGAGATGGGAAAGTTGATTTGGGTTTGGTTTAGATTCAAAAACCCTTAGGTTCCAAATCAAAATCCTAAGAACCAAAGCTCTTATATAATAAGTTCAAAACCTGCATTAAACCTGGTTTGGTTCAGAATCAAAATTTAGACTGGTTTCAATATTTTGCAAAACATAAAAAAATAAAACCTATATTAATATAAAGATACTTAATTTATATAAACTTTTAGAATAAAATATATTGATCTTTTGAATTATCATACCTAGCATGCTAATATTGATTTATTTAATAAAATTTTAACTTTTATAAAGTAAAAGAAGATATTATAATGATGTTAAAGTTTTTTTTTCAGTTTAAAGTAGCAATCTTGTCTGTATATCTTTATTTAATAAATAATATATGATTACAATTTTTTTATATACAATAGTTTATTAATGAAAGGATAACTAGGCATATGTATAATTTTAGTTATTATCTAATTAAAGATTTTGTTTATAGGTTACTCACTAGATGTCATATCTGAGACCTGTTTTTGGATCCTCTATTAAACTTTCTAATTTTTAACATTATTTGCATATTGTTGTGTTTGGAAGATTGTGACTCTGTTGCTTTACTATCCAAAGTGTTGTGTAATGTACAATAAGTAACCTTTTCAAAAAAAGGTTTTAGATTTAGCTGGTGGGTGATTAAGGCTTTTGGTTACTTTGGAACAATAAATATAAGTAGGGTAAGTCATGTGAATAAGAACTTGAACAAACAATGATAGTTATTGGAGTTTACAGAATTTATACTGTATATAGTGTTAGGATTTTATTATTGATGATTACAATGTATTGGGACTTGTTTATTACTAAAGCAAACAAAGCATACTGCTTCTAAAGGTCATTTTAGCCTTTATTTATAATATAAAATTTGTTGTTTACAAATGTGACTTATCTATTAAAACTAATTAAACTATTTATATATATTTATTTAATATTTGTTATTTTCTCACTTTATTTCTTATCTATTTCTTCAGATCTGAAATACCTTTTTTAATCTTAAATGTAACTTATTACACTTATTACATTTATTGCACTTATTGTACTTATTGCATTTTATATATTTTTTATATAATTAGTCATGATATTCAATATCATAATTTCTAGTATCACAATATATGCAATATTTATATTATTATTAAATGACATATCAGGTTAAGGTTGTTTAATTATTATTTATATCAAAATACCACCTTATTAGATATTACTAAGTATCTATAGTCTTTTAAATTTATCCTTGATACAAACTTACTAAGTATAATATTAAGATTACCTCTTAGATTTTATCTAATTTTAGTATATTATATATCTATTAAACTAATATTAATATTAGAGATATTTGAATTTCATAAATCTATTCCTTTTCTATAACTTTCTTTTATATTCATCATATTATTTGCTAGTGTATCTTCTCTTTATTTTTGATATGTTTACCACTTCTCTTATATTGAGCATCAACTCTTTATATTGAAAAACATCTTTTTGTAAAATTTTTTATATACTAATCTTCTATTCACATGAATTTAATCACAAGATTTCATATACATTCATATACTTCTATAGATTACAGAGTTTTTGTCTTCAGCTAGAATTGAACTGTTCATTTGTTTGTGAAGGAAAGGGTATTTAGACCACTAGGCTACAGAACCTCAACTCTTAATATTATAGTTTATTTAAATCAAATATATATATTATTTTATTTTATTTTTTTTTTTAAACTTTGGTAGCCTTGCCAATATCCTTTATTAAGAGAATTGCATGTTTAATTATATAACTATTAGCTTAATTTCTAGGTTTGACATCTCCTGGTTACTGTACTAATGCCCAGAGGTGACCTGCCACACTAGCATGAGTTGTTACTCATTGCTAGAGGGCTATTCAGGCTAGCTTTTGAGGCCATTCCAGTAAGGCCTCTATATATTTTTTTATTTAGATAGTTTTATCAATAATTTTTATTATAAAAATATAAACTATATACTATATTTTATAATAATATTTTGTAACTTTAATATTATTTAGTTTAAGCAAAAAAGTTTTCAACTACTAGTATAACTTTGTATAGTCCAATGATAACAGTATATTTTGTTTTTTACAAAACCATTTGATCAACTATTTGATCATTCAATCAAAATCAAAACCCACCATGCTGATTTAATAGTTAAGTTATATCCAAAATAATACCAGGAACAGAGTTTGCAGATATGGCCTGCTACACATAGATAGAGAAGTCCCATTTGCAAATTAGTAGGAATCAAGTTGCATATAGACAAAATGTAATAGCTTGCATCTATAATAAATATAGAAATAAGTTAAAAAGAAATATTCAATCAAATACTTGACTTACTGCATTACTAATTTTCTGATAAGGTTATATTATCACATTATTATACATATCTGCTTTTTTTTGACAGTTAAAAAATTTTTTACTAACCAGATTTATATTTTTTATTGTTAAATCATTTTTTTGATTTTTCCTAATTTGTACAACCATGCATATTACAGTACGAATGCTGATTTATTATACGTGCATGTATTACTAGATAATTCTCAAGTATTCAAATTATTCTAATTGTTTATTTCATACTGAAGTCATTTTTGCAATCATAATTCAGAGATTGCAATCTGAGTTCTTGAAATCCATGACCAAAATTTAAATAAAGTTAGTAAAATTGAAAAAATTACATACAGTTTGAATTTGCAATGTTATGTTATCTATATAATAAAAAAGCAATATAATAATGAATGAACGGAGGATAACAGACATGCTGAGAAATGATGTGATATTTTAGATCTGCATTGCAATTACATGACCATAGTGCATATATTTGCAGTAGGAGATGTATGCCAAGTTTGTGGCTTAAACAGAATTCTTGCACGTCTTGAATGTGTGCAGGACTTATGGCACAGATTTCCCGAACTACAAATCAGATTCCATGCATTACCAATACTCCTCACGACTCCTATTTCTGGTTTCACGTGATAATATTGTGCAGCTATCTTATGTATGCATTTCTGAAATCTGTGAAAGGTTAGCTGATAACGTAATGTACTATTTAAGACCGTTAGTCAATTTTATTAAGAAATTTAAATATCGATATCTATGCATATTATAAAATTAATTCCAATATTACTAATGCTACAAGTAAATAATACTGAAATATTTGAATTTCTACTGTAATATCTAATATATACTATATAATGCTTTAGCCCTTTTTACAAAGTTTTTTCACATAGTTTAGCAAATTACTTGACCCAGATTTTTTTTAACTATTAGGTTTATACATTAATTTGGCTGATTATTGAATATATTTAAGCTTAATTTATTAACTTTTTTTTCGGGCTGGAATAAAGTTTGAGAATCTGTATTTTCATTTTCTTTGTAAAAGCAGAAATCTTCCACTTTACCTGAACTCTGATTCGTGTGCTACTCTTAACACGAATCATCGGTTTGAGAAAATTTTTATATCTTCGTCGTAGTTTTGCCTTCCATATCTTTTGTATATTTCAAATTCAAATAAATTGAGAAATTTGTGCGGATGTTAAACGAACTTTTAAGAATTGGGATAAATGAAAAAAAATTAAGCTTGACTATGCGTTTTCAATTATATTTAGTTAACTATAGTGTCAAAATTTTATTATTGATTTTGGAAAAAGAAATATT